TCTTTCCCTTCCTTTGAGGCTCCCCTTTGCATGTCATGCAGTTGTTGTGGGAACAATTCCCTTTGCTTGGGACATGCTGACTCATCAGTCCTGGTGCATGTGTATATATATATAGGCCTCCTTTCCCTTTGTTGACTATGGCAATATTAATTTCCAAAATTGACAATTTTCTAGCAAGTCTACGTACGTGCAATTTGTGCTCTAATTATAACTTTCTTTGTGTCTCGTCTGATGAAAACTAACAAACAATGGAGAATTAATGGAGTTTGAAGGGAGAACCAATCTTCATTTGGTCTGTCCTTGACCTCCAAGTCTTCGGAACTGAAGGTGCACTTGCAAATATTTCCACACAAGAGTGAGCGTTGGGAACACGGCAGTACTAATTTCCAAAATTGACAGTTTTGCAGCAAGTCTTTGTGCTAACAGATACAGTTCTTGATCTAATTAGAACTTCCTTTGCATCTCGTCTGATGGCAGCTGTTCTCGGGGACATCTACCCCGCTATTATTCCTTGCTGGCTTATAAACTTAATACTATTTGGACCCCCCCCTTCGCATGCACTGATAGATTATTATTGCTATTATTAACAAGAACAGGTGACTGTGTACTTGAAGGGTTAAGCAATTTATGTGTTTCCCAGAAGAAGAAGCATTTCATAGCTTAGAAAATAGCAATAAATATGTGCTAATAGATACAGTTTGTGCTCTTCCTTTGCAGCTCGTCTTATGGATCATACCTTTTGTGTGGCAACAAAAGTTCCATGCCAACAAAAGACAACAGTGCAACCCTTGGTACAGATTTTTGCTGGATAAATCTGCGGTTACACACAACATCCACCTTCGTTTTGTTTTTTGTGTTAGTACGAACAAAAATCTGAAGGAGTGCAGTGCGTAGCTGTTGCAGTGTACTAACCGATCTTGCAGTAAAATTGGGACTCTCCTGTTCAAGGTAGAAGTGGTGAAGTGTCAATTTTATATCAAGGTCAGAAAGCAATAGGCAAGTGTCCAGAAAGTCTTTTATGCATGGAGTGCGAAACATCCATATATAGCTGAGTGCTGGCAGACCACATTTTAAACATAAGACCATCAAATAGGTACTTTGATTTACTAAGTCTCTTTTGAATTGAGGTAGGAGTTGATTTTTAAATAATTGCATAATGACATTTACATCTGCAATCACACTCCAACAAGCTTGAGAAATTATACAGTAGTCAGAACCTAAGCAGTGCAGGAGAATATTAGGCTTTTTTTATTTTTATTTTTTTTACCTGGATTACAGCCCACCTTAACCTCCGACACTTCTCCGCCCTTGTTTAATATAATATGGAGTATTCTATTTTGATAAAAACAAATTTATTGAAATAACATAACTTGAAATTGTTAGAAATCAAACTCTCTTTTTTTGCCATTAAAAGGAGCCTAGCAGGATCAAACCTTATATTTCAATACCAGATAGGTATGATATTATATAGAGTTGATGATTGTGGTCTTATTTTTCCATATAAATGAAAGAAATACTTTCTACTTTAATTTACTTATATTCTCTCCATATAGATGAAATGTCAACATTTGATATTCCCAAGTTACTGTTGGATTCTCAAGACCTTACCTTTCCACCATAAAAAAAGGAATTAGTAGATAGCCCCGGTTCCGAAAATGCAAAAAATAAAATAAAATAATGGCAAAGTAATAATTACGCAAAGCAATGGAGCTCTAATTAATGCCTTTGCATCTTTATCCTTTTCCATGACCCAAAAGTCTGCATTGACGAGACCAAGTATAGGAACACGGCAGTCTTTGATTTCCGGGTTGCTATTTTTCTGAAATTAATTAGTTCTTGTAGTGTTAAAAATAATTAAATAGTTATTTGACAAATCTTAATCATGTTTAATTTAGTAATATATATTTTTTTTTAAATACTTCTCTTTCTTATCAATCTTTCAATTTATATTCTTTGATTTCCCCCTTTTTTTTCTATTTTAAATTAAAAAATATAATATGAAATAGACAAAAAAATTATAAGTTATAAATCCAATTAAAAATACGAAGATTAAATGTTTAATTTACTACTAAGATATCATTAACCCAAACAAAGAAGAAGTTTGTACATATGTCAATTGCAACTCGCATATCATAACGACTCCTCTAAAAGATAACTTTGAGCAGGCTATTTTGCCATCAACACCTACCTCAAACATAATAATTCACACAATCACAAATAACTAATTTTCTAGCTTCAAAACACAATTTACATAAACAACACATAATAAATGAAAAAATTTAGACTAATAATTAACATAACATAATATTTTATAAAAAAAAATAAACTAACTATATATTTATTCATAATTCTCATAACATATAATAAGATCTAAGTATATCTAATAATCTCTCTAGATCGTACAAAGGCCTAAAACACACGTTTACGATTCTGAATCATCATGATAACTTATCTAACTAGAAGACAAGTTTGTAATATCCATGTAGATGCGAGAAGGACTAATAACATCTCAGCTTGTTGATAGACCTAAGTCACTCGTGAAAAAGCCTGAGATACTTGTGGATAAGCCTATGATGCTCGTGGACGTGTCTGAGATGCTCGTGGACAGATTGATGCGAAGCTTATAATTACATAACTCATAATCAATATTGAAATCTGATCCTGGAAAGCTGAAATAAGTTTGATAGGAGTGTGACATAATGGAAACTTGCCCCAAGGCACCAACACTATTGAAATGAAGCAGAATTATGCCACGAAGCTAATTAATATTTGATAAGTCAGATTCAATTCATTCAAATAAAAAATTTAGAAGTAATATTCATTAATGGCGGCTGGAATTTTGGTTACATGAGTTTAAATAATTCTTAAAAAATTAACCATAAGGGACCTCTTATGTGGATTTATATGAGGTCCACTCAAAACTGACTAAAAAACCCTTAACTGAAAAGCTCATAACCTGATTTTAAACAAGTCTTGGATTCTAGCTAAAAACAAAGTATTAACCCATTAAGCCTTGGGTTGTAGCTAAAAAAATAAAATAAAAACCCTAACATTAAATCTATGTTCTTCCATGAGAAAAAGAAAAGGAAATAAAATATTACAAAACTGATTCAAGGCTTATTATTTATAGCCTTCCATACAGCCCCCTTAATCCTAGAAATAAAAGGAAAAGGTAATAACCTATATTGTTTCCAAGTTGTAATAGGATTTTTTTTATTTTCTTTGTTGTCCTCACCCCATGGACTAAATAAGACTGTATTCGTCCTCTCTTGCACAAGGATAAGATGTATGAAGGTCTCCTCTTGATACTCCCAAGGACCATTTAATTTTGACTTAGTCGAAACCTTCAAAACCAATGAATTCAATACCTCTTTCAATGTCTTTATCTTGAACCAAGTCATTGCACCATTTGGAACATGTAATGGGTCCTTGTTGGTGTTTCTGAGATGGTCCACATTATCCTTTCTCTCATTGAAAGGATTCGATCTTGAATCAAAACCTGTGTCCAACGACGTAAGATCATCAACATTAAAGGTA